AAGATAAGTTTTTGAGTAATTTCTAATATGCCATACAATAATGAATATGGGTATGATACAGGTGCATAACCACCAATATGGACCAAAGTGTGCTTCAAGTTAGACTTAAAGATGTCTGTTTCTGATTCTGATCTTACAGCAGCTTTGGCCCATTCTTGGTCACCAAATCTCCATAGGTCTTTAATAATCATCAATTCACCTTTGAGAACCAGGTCCCTATTGATTGGTATATCTGCCCATTCAACAAATGCTTGATATGTGCTGTATAAATATCGCCAATCTTTGTACCAATAGCTGATTGGAAACTTGGGACTCAGTGCTTGTTGGATATTATTATATGTCTCAAGGAAAGTGTTGTTATCAAAGGGTGTTTGGATATTCGCCATAATATTAGCCATACCAGGTAAAATTCTTGCTAAGCTAGTAAACACAGCTTTCAGCACTTTTATAATCTTAAATAAGACCGTCTCATCATCATGCATTGCATGAAGTGTCCCGGAGATGTATCAGTAAGAAATCAATATTGTAATTCTGGCAATTGATCCCTTTCTCTAAATTAGAATACAAATCATACATGATTCTTTGTTTGCCATATGGATTGTACTCAGATTTAACATTCTTATTCAGGCCATTCTTTAGTGCTTCTGTATGTCATTGATGAAAATCATTCAAAACAGCAAGATGTCCATACAAGGACTGACGAAACTCCGTTGTCATTATGAGTGGTCTCCTGCCCCATGCTTCCAATGCCAAAACATATGTCCTGAGATGTAGCTCCAACTCCATACCAGTTGTTACCTTATGTGTCATGTATGAAATGTTTGCAGTTCCGATTGTCCTCAATATATTTTCCAATTGATCATCATCCAATCTATCCATTGTTGTCAATAACAAGGAATGCAATCTGATGAAGTGATGCCTTCTGTCATTATTATCGATAATCGATTCTAAACATTTGATCACCTGTTCCCTCAATTGGGTTGCGCTCAGTTTTTCGTCCGATTGGGTTATCTCGTCAATCTCAATGTCTTCAATTTGTTTAGCTTTGCCTTTGCTTTTCGCTTTCGGGAATGACGGTTCACCGTTCTTCTGACGTAATAATAAATAAAAGTACGGAATAACATTTAGTTACTATTACAGTGTGAACAACGTATGTCAGTGGGGTGACTATGCGGTCATAAGACTATTATAATTACGCTTTAATTCCCTACTGTGTTGTTTCGTACTGTTTAACGTTAGTAAATGTTGCGACATGTTTGTAGAACTTACTATAGCTTCTGCCATCCAGGAAAATCGCTATAAACGATAATATTATCACTACTTATGGTACTAAATGTCACACGGACGGTCCCAACCAATCGAAGTTGTCAATATTCGAGGATTAACGTTGACAAACAAATTTTACGGTGAATTCACCGAAAGATTTTCTTGTATATCTAATCTGACTTCATGTCTGATAATCAGAATCCGATATACATGTTACACAGCCTTGATATTTCCTTTTTAAGGCTGACATGTAGTACAGCTTTAGGTGATATTTCACTCGGTCAAATAAATCACCAATTGGACGATTTCACTGGCAGTCGGCCAATGTTTTTTTACTATTACTATTTAAAAATTCGATAAGTTGGTTTCACGTGACAATATATAATGATCAATTGTCCAATATAACTAGTATGAGACCGAATCATTAGCATCTCCACATAATAAAAGAGGGAGATGTTGAGACCGAATTGTTAGCATCACAGAAAATGGAAAACTAGATCCACGAATGCTCTGCATAACGAGATTGCAATCCCCAAAATACCACCAACTTTCTGCTTACCTTCCCAAT